CTGGGTGGCTCAGTCGGTTGAGCGTCCAACTTTGGCTCAGGTCATGAGCTCTTGGCTTGTTCGAGCCCCGCGTCGGGCTCTGTGCTGACAGCTCAGAGCCTGGAGCCCACTTCGGATTCTGTCTTCTTATCTCTCTGCCCCTCTCCCGCTCACACTCTGTCTCTCCCTCAAGAATAAATAAACATTACAAAAAAAAAAGACTTAAAAAAATAAGAGAGTATATTTTTGTGTTTGAAGCATTATTTTTAATTTGCCCCCACCCCAAACTGAAATGACGCTTTTTCTATTGGCAGATAAGTATAGAATAACGGATATTTTATATTGAAATATTTTCTATGCGGAGGAGATGAACTAGCCTTGCTCTCTCCCATTTAAGTTTCACTTTTGCTTTTGATGCGGTACCATAAAAAGTCAGTCTACTGATGGAAATGACACTTTATAAACCCAGGTGTGAAAATTTTAAGTACGATTTGTCTTAGATCTTTCCTTTAAAATAACAACTTGTTCTCTAAAGTCGATACCTTGAACTTAACTATTAACCGAGAATGTTTTCCTGTAATGCGTGACTGATATGATAGCAGCTTTTTTCTGCATTACGGTGAAAACATTGCTCATCCAGACAGGTAGCCAGTTTTTCCAACATCCACAAAGGCGTGAAAGTATTTTTTACCCATGGAAATCCCGATGGCACAGTTTAAAAATACAGGTGACTTTATTTTGCATCTGCCTGATGTGCTGCTGATTGTTTCCTACTCTTCCCTGTAAGGGCTTTCGTAACCACTCAGAGGGCTGAAGCTTCAAACCTGCTGTGGAGCAAACGTTCTTGTCTTCCCCCCGTTCCTGCCCTGGCACACAGAGGAGGTGATTTCTGCCAAACTCAGTGTGACAAGGACCGTTTCAACCCAACAGCTAATACCCCCCTCCTTGAGAAATACTGTGGGCCCCAAAGGGCTGAGGAAGGAGAAATGGGAGAAGGTACCCACCACCTCTTGGGGGAACTCTCTTTGTTGAACACCTGCCCTCAGGTGTCACGCTAAGTTTCTGTCCTCTCCTTAGCCCACCTGGCCAGGATGTCCGTATGGAACAGGACTCACCATTGTGCCTCTGCAGCCACGGGGCTGAGCCTGTTGTCCAGTCAGGCTCTCACCAGAAGCCTGTCTTGTGGATTAATGGGCACTTCCTTGTCTTAATGAAACATATTTTGTTCCCATTTGGTGGCTGCGGTTCTCTTCATTATCAGGCAGAATCCTGAAGAAGAGGGCTGAGTGGTGGGATTTATTGTTTATTATTTTTTAATTTTCTTAAATATGAAATTTATTGTCAAATTTGTTTCCACACAACACCCAGT